TGGCAAGGACGGTACCCATTTTTGATGCCCATTAAATAATTTTTTATCATTGAAATCCACTTGCTTATTTGTCTATAAAACAGGCATTGGTTGATGTAAATGTCACATATTTCAGTGAAAATTTCTTTGGGATTTTTAACACGTTTTACAGCAGCTTTAATGAAGCTTTTATTTTCACTTTAGTTTACCGATTCTTTACCATTAATTTATAATGCAGTGTCTTGAAAAGCCCTTGTTTCCCAGCTTCTCAAGATGAAACTACCTGATGAAAAGTGGTCACATAAACTGTTATCAATTCATTAAAGATTCAATAATGAGTGAAAGTCTAGCTTAATGTCATATGATTTCTATGTTGTATGTCATCGAGCTAATGACATTATTTATTGAACGTCCCTCGTATTTCCAGCTTAAATACTGTTTGTTATATCCGTAAATTTCATCCATGTTTATTGAACAAAAGAAGTTTGAAAAATGTGTTTAATAATGTTTCATTAACTTAAGTGTCCTTTAAAACTATTTAAAAACTAAATTCAGACCCAAAAAAATCTTGCTTTATACGTGCACGTAATTTCCACTATCAAACTTTAAAAAAATGTTACATTAAAATATAGATATGTGAGGCTGCCTTATTTAGTTCTCTTTTTCATTGAAGCTTTATCAATGCCTTATCATCCATAATATTGAACACCTGTTGGGTTACAGATCATAAATATGCATTACACATTTAAACTTTTTGTTGAGTAAGTTGCGTTTTTCTGAGACGCAAATTTCAGGGATTTGTTTTTCTTTTTAAGAGTGTTCATTTTGTAATGCAAGAAGGAAAACTATTACCTATTCTAAATAAATAGTACCGATAAACAATTTTAAATTAGATTTTTTGTAATATCAACACGCCTGGTAATAAAAATAAAATGAAATCTTTGTTTGAAAAGAATCTGCTCATAGTGGATTGATTATCAGCATCATAACCTTAATTATTTTAATATGAAAACATGCACATTTACCATTAATCTGTCATTTAAGGTACTCAACAGCTGAAGGATAAATATCATTATTTTACTTAATAATTACATATGTTTCCTTTTCACGAAAGGAGAATTCATCGAAGATATGTTTTACAAGCAAAAAATATCGTATCGATCGATATAAATTATATTTCTATCTACATTAATCAAACCAGTTTTAGGTCGAAATAACGTTAATTTTTAATTTCATTTTAAACATTTTTTAGTGAGAAAACTTATTTTAATTCATTTATGACACTAGTTCTCAAAACAAAAATAATAAAATTATAATATAAAAATTAAAGTATACGTTTCAATTTGTTAAAAAATATCTTCTGCATAAAAAGCACATGTATGAGAGAAAAATGTAATTAATATTACTGCCATTTGAGTTTGTATTCCAATTTGATTTCAAAATAAGCTAGTGTAGACCTATCTGTTTATGGCAGCCCAGCAGTTGCTTGTTGAGCCCTATTTCAGAAGACACAGCTCAACCCGCCGATTCCTAATAGCAATATCAAAATCAACTTGTATAAAATCATGTTTGTTTTATTTCCATCTATATAAATAATAAGATGTAAATTTGCCAATTAAGGAATAGATGTTTTTTAACAATTAAGTAATACTCTAGATTATAAAATAAATTCCGTCTATTGTCCTCATAGCCAGTAAATAGGTGTATACTATTGCTTCCAAAATACCAGAGTACCTATTTCCAAGAGAATATGGAACTACATTACCTATTAGATATCTACACATCATGAAGTCATTACAAAAAGAGATATTTTGACTGTTCCAGCAATTGTTCTAACAAATAATTCTTATCTTCGATATTGATTTCATTCTAAAAGTTGTTTCATTCAGGTGTGGATTCTCATATACTCTTATGAACTTTGAAAACGTTTAATATAACATTTTTTTTTAAATACATGTAAGAAACATAACAATATACGACTCATCTACACTTTATAAAATCATCATGAATTAAAAATTAGTTTTTTTAATATCATAAATGACTGCTTCTTCAAAATATATTTGGAAGTTAGAGGGTTTTTTTATTTCGTGTTTGGTCAACAACAAAATTAATTTTAAATAAAAATAACCCTGATTCTATACGAGGGCTGTTCGAAAATTATTGAGACATTGTGTATATTTTGCTTTCTAATGAACGTACGCGTCTTTTGGTGAAAATTTGCATATACGTTTGACATACACTAAAAGTTAATAAGAGCAAGAAATATTTTACAGATATTAAATATTTTCTCTACAATGGTATATAAATATGTCAGTAGTAGGGGTACCCGGAGCAGTCGCTTAATCAGATATCGAAAATATGTAACACCAAAATTCTAACTCTTCGTGGATCCATAATGAGAGCGAAAATAATTCAGTTTAAGTGTATAGTTTTTCAGCTTTATTTCAAATTCATGTTGTGCAACTTTGATAGATATTTGATCAGAAATACGGAGATAAAAAAAAATTAAGCGCGGTAAAGAAATCTGCTAACAACGACAAAATGGATTTTGACGTCAAGGGCGGAGCAGCCAGCATACCTAAAATTTTGTGTAGCGCAATGTAGAACTCTTTTCAAGACTGAACGACCTGCTAAAACAATAACAACGAGAAAAAATAATGTGTTAGGGTTTGTTATTTCATCGGTATACATTTTTTTTTACAATTAATTTAACCAGAGTAAAATTAAAAGCTCTGGATGACCATGGGTTATTACGTACAGTATTGCTATCGTTACGGTTTTAAACCCGGCACTGCATGATTCTAATATGTCATCCTTTCTCACAAATGAAAATTTTTCACCGGAGTAGCAACAGCAAACATTTTTAAAGAATAGTTTAAGAAAAGAGACTGTTTGATTTTTGTAATGTTATATGTAATAACAAAGTAGGAAGAGTACACTATTAAACGCTTCCCGATCGTTTCACATGCGAAACAATCTACGGCTAACGTAACGTTACATGACGTAGCGATGCTGCTCCGGGTCGATAGACATATGCATATTTATTACTTCACCGAAACTTATCTAATTATCATATGAATTAGAAATTTTGCATAAGTGTTTCAGTCGTTCTTTATAAGATGTTGATGAATTTTCATGAAATTTTCTCCGTCCTTTTTGGAGTAAATGTAATTGTCTCAATAATTTCCGAACAGCCCTCGTACTGTACGTACAAAACTACTGAAGATCATTATAAATCGCGACACCTTATTGTCGCGAGATGGAAAAATAGTATGTTTTAGCGATACAAAATTTTCGCGAACTGGGGGATTCTGTATATAATCGAGACTTGCGTTGTCAGGCAAAAATAAAAGTTTTCGTGAATAAATGTGATTTACATCACTCTGAAGTTGATAAAAAAAAAAAAGATGTGTGAGTTCCTTATTGACGACATTTATGTTGTCTTCGGATATCAGGTTTTCCTTCAAGCTGTTGGAAAATCAATGGGCACTGATTATGTTCTTCTTTTACACACCAATGTAGAAGGTTAAAATAAACTCTATACGTACATGTGTAGAAGAAAACAGTTTCTGTGCATACAACTCGATATTTACACATGTTGACGTATTAGCAATCGGCAATAGTAACTTCAATTCATACATCGATTCGATTTATCCCAGTACCTTTGAAATTAAAGACAACATTTTCTGTCGATTTCATGTCAAATTTCAATACATGATCATATCTCTGAAAATAATTTTCTTCGTCTGTTTGGCGTACAGATCATATTTTATTAATGCACCGTAATAAAAGCTTCTCAGGTGCTAACATGATGTAACGTTTTATCTGATTTACAACACTGGTCGATTAAGAGGTCGAACATCTTGACCTGTCGTGTCAAACCACTCTAGAGTCCATTGACACTAAAGTCAATTGATAACGTTTTATTTCAATATTGGCTGATATTTTTTCCACACACACTTAATGTTTGTCTTAATGTACATTCTGCAAAAAAGTGGGCATTTTTTTCAAACTTAAGATACATTTAAGAAAATACATGTACAATAATTTATAAGAATATAATAATATAATGAAACATATAAGGGCTTTTGCTCCCCCCCCCCCCCCCTGTCATACATCGTTATTGCATTTTCTTCGTTATAATGTTTAAACTTTGTTTTTCATTTACCAACTTACTGATAGCTATTAAAAGAGAGATAAAGAATGCAATAATTGCCTTGATGTCTGTTCTAATAGGTTAATAAAAAGAACTAAAAATTATGTTGCTTCAATTTTTTGGTTTTCTTTTCTTTTTATTTATTTATTTATTTTAAATTTTTATTTTAGAATCCTTAAAAAGTAGTTTTATGCAGACTTTAATCATGCAAAGTTTACTTTTTAAAACGGAATAAACAGAACATTGAACAAATAAATAAAAATAAAAGAAAAAACTGCAAAATGTTGAGATCAAGTTTTTCTCAAAGAATGGGAAAAAATAATCTTTAGCTAAATACAGAGTTAAGAAAATAAGATTTATTCAGCTATGAGTAATTTTAATTTAAACCTTACATAAAATTGGCTTGTAATTTCTAATTAAAGATTTTAACAGCAAAACCTGTGAAAAACAGCAAATCTCAATAAATACACACTATTCTGTCTTTCATTAAAGATATTTAACGAAAATATAAAAGATTAAAGTAGTCCTCTCTCTCTCTCTCTCTCTCTCTCTCTCTCTCTCTCTCTCTCTCTCTCTCTCTCTCTCTTCTAAATGAGATATTTATGAATATTTATTACAGAAGTGGAAATTCTACTAGAATGTTCGTCAAGTGACACGATAACCCTCAGTTTTATAAACTAATTTTCGTCGTAAAATATGAAACTATGACATAATACGAAAATGGTTCAATTGATTTATTTCTCAAATATAACTTATTGGTCATAACAAAAAAAGGTAATCTGTGACACAAATTTGTGTGAAAATATCCACATGGTTTCCTGAAAAAAAAGTATATAAAGACAATGTTCCCTCATCATATCACACTTGGGTCATACCTAATTAAAAATGCATTTTGTGGTGCTTTTTTCGTGTCTGGTCTTCACGGGTAAGTTGACTTCAAATAATTGTTAATAAAAGTTTTTAATTTAATTTATTTCATTTAGTTGAATTGATTTTATTTGCAACGTGATATTACCCCTTAAGAAACGATAGGTAACATAATTATTTTTCTAAACCTATCATCAATTTACGGGATTACAATTAATAACACTGAAATGAAAATAAAGCGTTGCCTTGCTTTTGGTGATAGAATGTAGAAAAATTGGAAAAAAAATCACACATTTTCTCATTCAAAAAGCATCCAAAAAAATGTTCGAAATATTGTCTTGATTTTTTTAAAAATTTGCCTCTCTTTAGTATCTGGTGTGCCGACAATCTATCAGCCTGCCAAGGAAATCCTTAAGGGCTTGGCATTGCAACCTGAGGTTTGATAGCTTTTTGTTTTCTCTACTTTGTTAGTAACTAAAAAGTAGTCTATATCTATTTTTTCCCTCCTCTTTGGCATTCTTTTTTATCGTTGTTCACCATAAAAAAAATTTCTAATTTAAAAGAAAATGTATATTACATGTATAAGATTGAAAAGCTACTCAAAATAATTTCTGGAAAAAAAATGTTATACCTTTTGGTGCTTTGGATAAAAACACAAGAAATTCTTGATATAATGATATTTATAGTTTCCGGATGACCTCCATCGTATCGTAAACGGACAGGAAGCCTCCCCCGGAGAGTGGCCCTGGCAGGTGTCCCTCCAGTACCGTCAGTTCTCGTTCCTGCAGTTTTCTCACATCTGTGGAGGATCCCTCATCAGACCAAACTGGGTCCTCACCGCCGCCCACTGTGTTGAGTATGTTTGAAATATATTCGTGTAAATTGTACTTATATGCTGTTTTGATATTCATGAAAAAAAAACTCTGTAACATAACGTTGCATCAACATTTTTAAATAAATTCACGAAATCTTTTCTAAATAATAATTTCTCTTCAAACCGTATCAAAATTGATGAAAGTCATTGTATCTACTTTGGTATGTAAATGTATGTAATACTGGAGAATAAATTAGATAGGTATTTTCTTTTGCAACCTCAACAACAGACAATGGCCCCTTTCACTATCAAACTGACTTTTTCCAAAGGTTGTGCAAAAATGCATTTAGTAAATCTATATTCGTGCATTACACAAGCATTTGTAATATACCTTGTAAAAACATTTCTAGTGTAAATCTTTTACATGTGTGTGAATATTTTGTTGAAAATGCATCATTGAGTGAAAACTTGAAACATAGCTCATATAACACGAATTAAGCAAAATTCACAATTTACAATGATCGTGTTAGAAGGAGTTTCTAATAAATTATCTATATCTAACTGCTGGGTTTCTTTTTTGCTAATTACAACAATGTATCTTTTCCCTCTAAGAATACACTATTTTACAGTAGAGAATGTTAATTAATATGTGTATTTTTGTTTTCAAATCATTTGATATAAATTACAGTGGAATGTCAAGTTCTAATTTGCGCATTGAAGCTGGAATCCACAGAGTGTCTGAGAATGGTGCTACACGTTCCATCAACAGAATCATCATGGTAAAGTTTTAATTAGAAAAAGAATACAAGTCTTTTTTGCGTATTAATTGCAAAAGGTATTTAAGATTATATTATAGAGCTAATATGTGCACATGCAATACTTAAAATACCATTTTAAAAAAAATTGTCTCATAATCAACCAATAAAAAAATATTTTTCAATAATCTTGTTGATAGCACGCTGAGCAGATGTGCTGTGGATACCCTAATATAATTTTCAAATATACTTATATGGTTTTTGAAATACTTCATTACAGCACCCTCAGTATTCCTCATCTGGTGCAGGTTACCCTAACGACATAGCCCTGTTGGAACTCTCTTCATCCTTCATGGTTGGCGGGAATACCCAGCTTGCCACTCTACCTACAAATATAAATGAAGATTTTACCTACAATACCGACTGCTTTATCACAGGTTGGGGAAGAACTTCAGGAGGTATGTTGGAATGAGAATAATTAAGCGTAATGAATTTTTTTTTATCCTTTTAAATATACCTTTAATTATTATAGCTTACTGAAACTAATTGGTTAACAATACCATGATTTGAAGCTTCGATACTTCGTACATGTATTTGAATTGCTGTGATGCTGAACTATTAAATTTAGTGTCGAAGAACAACATGGTTTGTGTTAGAATATGCAAAAATAAAACGCAATAGAACAATGAAATATTGTTAGAAGTGTCAAAAACATTAAACAAATTTGGATAGCTATAATAATTTACTTTAAAATTCAATATCGATAAATATAAATACATGTACATGAAAAGTATTTGTAAAATTAATGAACCTATATAACGATCAATTCGTTACAAAACTAAGAAAAGAGATTTTCAGATTTCGTAAAGAATCATTTATATTAAACTGGTATCTTGTTTTAGGTGGATCTGTTTCTGATGTCCTCATGGAGGCACAGATGACCAATATTGAAAACACCGAATGTGCCAACCGCTGGTCAAGCATCAATGGTGCCGCCATTTATGATTCCCACATCTGTCCATTCGAACCCAGCAAATCTGCTTGCAATGTTAGTACAGAAAAACGCACAACGTTAACATGATTATTATCAAATATGTACTGGTGTCGTCATTATCATTTTTTATGCATTTTAGGGAGACAGTGGTGGTCCCTATGTCTGCAGAAAGAATGGTAATTATATGTTGGCTGGAGTGACGTCATGGGGCATCAGCACGTGCGATGGATCGTACCCGAGTGTTTATACCAGGGTGTCCAAGTATTTGGACTGGATGGCAAACTACATCTAAATCCTGGGTCTCTAACATTGATGAATAAATGTTGAAAATAATTTTGCCTTATTTTATCAAATTGAACAGTCAAACTTAACAAAACTTACTTTTTGCTATGATGATTTTCAAATATATCAATTAATTACTGAAAAATCTGTTGCCTTTGCAAACGGAAAAATACTAGGGAGAAAAACTTTATATATTTAACAAGAAATGGTAGCACTAAATATTTCCTGTCATTTAACTTTCATATTTATAAATACAAAATGCCCCCTTTATGAATTGACATCATGCTCAAGTCTAATACTGTAAATGAATTTCATTTTGTTTGTTTGCTATTTGGTCTTGTTTTTCAACAAGTAAGTGTTATTTGATTAAGCAATTTTAATGTGCTAGATATGAAAATATACTAGTAATACACAGACCATCACGTTCAACTCTTCAGTAGAACAACAAAAAATTATCAGATAAGTTGGGTGAAAGTGATTACTTCCTCCAGATAAAAATGAAACACTAATGTATCAGTGGGCCTAGTGTACCAAATGAAAATTATCCTTTGATAAAAATAAGCAAATAATAAGTAAAAAAAAATATCAGAGACAAGTCTTTTAATTAAAAGAGCAAAAAATAAATTATAAAAGTGTTCATATTTAAATTTTGCAAGTGAATATCAATCTTTTTAATAAATAGATAAGTATACTGTATGAAAAACATACTGTTTTGTGGGATACCTACGAAGGATTGAGAATTAAACATTAATGCTGTCCCTTCTGGCTTCCCTGCTAAAAAAAAAAATGTACAAACTGTAGAAACGGTACAAACGGGAAAATACTCAAAGCTGATCGAAATCACCGGACATGAACTACCATCAACACTCGATCTAGAGTTGAACAATGAAAACAAATATTTTACATATGAACTCTTAAAACAGCTGACCTATAGAATAGAAAACACTAAAAATGGGAAAGATTAAAATGATAAATAGAAAACAGTACAAAATAATGCAGCCATATTTTTTTTAATCTACAGACCATGTTGGTCTGTGTACACTTAACAATTAAAATTTCTAAAATGATTTTGAGTTTCTATTCTACCGTTTGTTCAGATAGTTTACGCTTAACAATCTAAAGTTCAGTAACATTTTACGCCCTTTATTTATTTAAAATTTACTTCAAACTTTTCAATTTCAACTTTCAAAACGTTTTTTTTTAAATTTGGTATTTTGATTCAAACATTCAAATTTCAAATAACCAAAACATTTGGAGCTTTTAGATATTTACTTCAAATATCCCAAATATCAAATTCCAAACCTGGTTTCAATTTAAAAACAATTTTCAAAAACACTTTTGGTTAAGCAAAAGAGCTTTTTGATAATTAGAATATTAAACTAAAATTCAAAATTCAAATTGGGTTTGGAAATTTAATATTTTGGTTATTTAAAGTAAAATTCTTAAACTCAAAGAGTTTAGGTTATTTGAAATTAGAACATTTGAATCAAGATTCCAAATTTCTAAAAATCTAAAAAGTTTCAAAGTTGGATTCTGGTTTGAAGCGAATTCTAAATAATCAAAACACGAAAAATATTACTGAACAACAGATTGTTAAGTGTAAACTTTCTGAACAAACGGTAGACTAAGGACTCAAAAGTTTAAAATACAAAAATCGTTTTTGAAAATTTGAATTTTGAACATTTAAGGTAAAAATCTAAAATATCAAAATTTTAAAACCTGTTTGGAAATTTGAAAATTTAGATTTTTGAACTAAAATATTAAATTTCAATATACCAAATCAGTTTGAGTTTTTGAAAGTTAGATATTTGAACTATCATATTAACATTCTAAAACTCTATATCATTTTAGAAATTTGAATTGTTAAGTGTTACACAGACCCATGTTGAACTTGAAAAAAAGGGAAATTTAGCTGTTAATATAGATAACATGTACCTTTAACACTTCTTATCAAAAGTATCCGAACTTGAAATGATAGACACAACAAATACACAACAAATTCTTTATCGCCTGTTTCATAATTGAAAGTAGCAGCAAGCCCTTATTACTTGCATATGAAGTTAATATATCTCCAAACTGATTCGCGATGCTAGAGTATATCCTATGAACTTGCAATTTTATAAAGAATGCATGCTATTGGAAAATAAAATTGACAAAATAAGAACACCAACTGACGTTTCAAGCGAACATGTCGCAAATAAATTCTTTGAGAGATACGATGACCTTATTAGCAATACTTTTTTTTTTACAATCTTTCGTTTCGTATAATGTATATAGACTGATATTTTAAACAATTTGTAAGGCCATTAATTATATACACAGTGGATTGCCAAAGGATTTTTTCTTTAATCGATCATGACATGTGTCGTTTACTGATTTTTATTTGAAAATTAAAATAAATATAGTCATGTACTTATTTTATTTTCAAATAAAAATCAGTAAACGACACATGCGTTACACGGCAGTGTGACAAATATACACTTACTGTTCAAACGACCTGATCCCACGTATAATATTTCAAAGGTCCACAATTACTTTGCTCTTGTTATTTTTTTTTGGTTCCAATGGATTTTTGAGCTTAATATAATACGATATTCGCAAATTCTCACATTTCCTTTGTTTGTTAGGTTCATTATTTCAACTGTATTTTGGAATAAATTCTGTTTCCACATCTGACCATCCAACCTAAGGTCAAAATATGAAATTCTTAAATATCAAATTTATTTTTAAAAACTTTTAAAATTTAAGTCATGGACGTGAGTTTGATTTGTCATACCTGTACTGCATTCCAAATCTTCATAAAAGATTTTATTGACAAATGATACACTGAGTATAAAAAGATAAATTTCGCTTGCGTTTCCGTTGGAAGTTTTGACGTTGACAATTTATTCAAAGAAGGCAAGTCATGTTGATGCATCTTGAAAACGAACAATTTTTAAATATCCATAGGATATCGCTTTCGGAGTAAATATGGTATTGGTTGTTGAGGTAGGGTGTGTGAGGGAGGGTGTGTGTGTGTTTGGTGTTTTTTTTTCTTGAGCACGCAGTGAAAAGTACATATCTATAGAATCAAATAAATTATTTTAAATTCAAGAATAAATTTAATAAAGTACATGGCAGTTTGAGACCATACGAAGAATGTGTTCTAATGCTATGTAGTTCTTTAAGTCATACACGTAGTACTTGAAGAATGTTAAGTTATCAATCGTGTTCATATCTCGGCTTTAATTTGATATATAAAAGTATTGTAGCCAATTAATAATTTTATGAATTACTAACAAATAATTTAATTAAAGGGAATTTCTTCAATGATTATGATGTATAAATGTATAAACGTAGTATGTCAAATAACACAAAAATACTCCTTTAAAGATATTTTTATCTTGTAAGAGCAGGCTCAAATCCGTTTGTTCATACTTCATAAATAAAAACAAATACTAGTTTTGTGTGCTAAATGGTTCGTCTTGGATGAAAAGATCAGTCTCTTCCTTAATTTCAAAATTATCAACCCTTGATCATTATTTAATGTTATAAAAATACCGTATAAAAAGATTCTTGAATATAGTTTACGCTAATAGAAACATCATCTAATACTTTATTATAGAAACCTAATCCAATACTTGTATATACTTTAGAGATAGGAACATTTTCTCCTCTCTCTCTCTCTATTTCATAGAAATTATTATTATTATTTCAAAAATTATTGAAATTGTAAATTACAAACTTACTCACACTTACAATATTCACAGGAGACTGTATATTTAATATTTCTTTACACTGTACAGACACTTTTTATGATTATCGACAACGCATTTGTTGATAATCAATTGACACTTGTACAAATAAAACTATCATAGGATTATTAGAGTGTTATAACTAACTTTGATGTTTTAGCAATCAAGACACTAAGACGCTGTTAAATTCAAATTTTATTCATCAATGTGAGGAATCCAGGATTTAGATGTAGTTTGCCATCCAGTCCAAATACTTGGACACCCTGGTATAAACACTCGGGTACGTTCCATCACACGTGCTAATGCCCCATGACGTCACTCCAGCCAACATATAATCACCATTCTTTTTGCAGACATAAGGGCCACCACTATCTCCCTAAAATGCATAGAAATAATCATGACGACATCAATGTTAGCATTATCATGCTCTAACTTCTTCTGAACTTACATTGCAGGCAGATTTGTTTTGTTCGAATGGGCAGATATGGGTGTCAAAAATGGCGGCACCATTGACGCTTGACCAGCGAGTCGCACATTCGGTGTTTGCAATATTTCTCATCTGTGCCTCCATGAGGACATCAGAAGTAGATCCACCTTAATAGATATAAGAAACTAGTTAAGTAAGAATAACTCTTTACTTAATTTGAACATATTACAACTATTTTCTCAGTTTTCAATTGAAATAGAACTGGTTATATTAGGCCTAAAATATTCATACAGTGTACCTACTCATATTTTCATTCATTGATATGAAATTTTATGATAAAGAACTTCACAGTTCACCTTTGTTTTATAAAACTTTTAAATAGTTATGTTGAAGATCACAGCATTGTTGCCAAATCGCCTGCTGTAGGTTTACATTGCCCAGCTTTGCACATTGAAAGGTTGTTTCAAAGAAATGTAAACAGGTGAACGATATATATTTACATTTAAACTTCAATGTCATTGGCCAGTGAGGGTTCTGGCACTGTAATTTTAAGTAGTAACAGTGAGCTACATAATCAATTGTACATTTTTGTAAACTTCACACCCAAGTGTAAACCTCCCCGTTGTAAATTTCAATAGACTGTTCACATAACTTTTATTCAGCTTTATTTATCACACTCTAGAAACATACCTCCTGAAGTTCTTCCCCAACCTGTGATGTAGCAGTCGGTAATTGAGAGGAAATCCTCATTAGCATTTGTAGGTAGAGTGGCAAGCTGGATATCCCCGCCAACAGTGAAGGATGAGGACAATTCCAACAGAGCTATGTCGTTAGGGTACCCAGCAGCAGAAGAGGAGTACTGAGGATGCTGTAATGAAGAATTTCACAAGCCACATAAGCGTATTTGAAATTAATGTTGTCCAAAACGAAAAGTTAATGTGTGTATTAAAAATGCTCTCTATGAGTGCATGAATGTTTCCATCGAAGAATTTAAAAGTCTGTGCATGTGCGAGTTTTTTTTTTTACCATTATGATTCTACTGATGGATCTGGTAGCACCATTCTCAGAAACTTTGTCGATTCCAGCTTCAATTCGCAAATTACTACTTGTCATTCCGCTGTAATTAAAACAATCGTACAGAATACCTATTTCCCCTGCATAATTCAATAAAGGTTATAGGAAAATTGGAAGAATCTAAATAAATGCAAATATAAGACTGCATGGAATGAGGTATCTAAATCTAATAAATTTCATAATTTCTGCTATTAAACAAAACATAATTCTTCTCTTCCAGTAGATTGATGTTTTCCTAGCAATTTTTCAAAACATTGACTAACAATTCATACATGAAGAATTCAGAATTTTGAAACAAAGGGGAGAAGGGTCATCATACTCAACACAGTGGGCGGCGGTGAGGACCCAGTTTGGTCTGATGAGGGATCCTCCACAGATGTGAGAAAACTGCAGGAACGAGAACTGACGGTACTGGAGGGACACCTGCCAGGGCCACTCCCCGGGGGAGGCCTCCTGTCCGTTTACGATACGATGGAGGCCATCAGGAAACTGGAATATTTATTTACAATACTTTAAAAACTTTATTAATGAAATTGGCTATAAATTATATTTTTTGTGTACCACTACTCATCCAACATGAATGAAGACACCCCATGTGCGAGAGTGTATAAATAGATGTTTTTACATTCATTGAAGAGAAAATAATTTTTAAAAGTTGATAAGTTAAGAATTCAAATTTGTTATTCAAAACTAAAATTTTAATTATAAAAAAGGACAATTGCTAAAAAGAAATCTTTCTTAGACCATTTGGGGTTGAATAAAAAGAAATTCAGATTGATAAGAATTTCTGTAAGTTTGAAAAGATACAGTCTGAACAATTTTGAAATTAAAAGAAAAGTTTGAATCTTTGTTAACATTTTAACCGGCTCAATGATACACTGACCGCTGGTTTTAAAGCCAAACCACGGAGTATTTCCTTTGCAGGTTGGAAAATTTTTGGCTTTGTAGTTGCGCCTTAAATAGAAATGAAAAATATTTCAACAATGTTTACTTATCTAAAGATACTTAAAATATTCGGGAAAAATATTCATCTTTATTTATTAAATTATATGTATGTCGTTTTTTTAATAACTTTTTTTTTTACTTGTAAATCAATTTGATTGTAAAATTATCCCTCAGCAAAATCTGCAAGCTAATCAATCATTTATAATTAATCTTTAAATAGGAAATACGTTAAAATCAAAATAAAGAAAAATATGGTGTTTCTGAATACTTACAGACAAAGCCAAAGACGGCAAGGAGAACAAGTACCTTCATCCTGTAGATTCCTCGTGTTCCTGTTGAGACTGGTCAGGCATTTATATACTGTTTTAACCCTGTCCATATGATGTGTTTCACAACGTTATGGTCATCTTAAGGAGTCCATATATAGTATTTAACAGTCCTCAATGGTCATGACAAATAGCCATCTCGCTTTCTCTTATATGATGTAAAAAGACACATTGTGATACAGAAAAATATTTGCATGTTTGTTTATTTACACAATTACATAAAATAGAGATAGAAAATTTTATATTCAGTAAAATCCTTTCTAGGGATAAAAATTAAAGGTATTATTCGAAATCTGTAAGTCCAAAATAGTAAACATACAACCTGTAAACAAATAATATATATTTTATGTAATTAAGTCATAAATCTATTTTTTTATCTTTTAGAATTTTGAAAACCGATTTATTTGATTACCCAGTTAAATATTTTAGTACTTAACTACTTATACATAATCAAAATGGACACGACCGATCGACTTGTGTTTATATTTTTATTCCTAAGAATATTAAAATTTATAAAATCAATTATTTAAATTAAAGATGTTATAAATAACAAATTACTTATATATGATATTGATATACGAGGATATTTTTATATGATTAAAATTGACGTGAGAAGAAAACATTGTAACTTTATCTCTTAAATAATCTAACTACTTTCGATTTGGTCTTGTTTCAATACAACTTCGAGGATAATATAGACTACTGGGAATCACTAATTTTCATGGGGGTTAATTTTCGTTGTTTTCGAGGTATGAAGAGACCCATGAATATATATCTACCACGAAATATAATTTTTCACACATAATATTATTTTTCACACATAATACTACTTAATATTCTTCATCCACAAAATCCCCACCAACCAATGTATTTTAATCAAATGAAATATATGGAGATAACGGATAAAGTATCAAGCAAAGAGCTCCATTAAACAATACAAAAAAAAGGAGCATATCTAACACGGACCTCCGAAACATCGGAAAGGAGCAGATAAAACTTAGACTAGCTCACTTTTGATCCTCCACTTTTCCACTATTTATTCCTTTGGAAAAAGTGAGACCGAGATCAAAAGTGAGCTCGACTAAGTTTTATGGCCCCCAGGCCAGGTGCCATAGAGGAGATAGCATCCCCTGCTGACCGGTCACACCCGCCTGTGCTCCTTATTATGAACGGGAAATGGCGGGAAAATCAACAATTCAGTGTGTAAATTAAGTGTGTCAATAATTGCCTTACAAAATGATAAATTGTATTTGCTGACAATGTCATTGTATCGACAAAAGAACTTACGCAATGATGACTTTAAACGAGACTGTTAGTATATTGGTTTCATCAGTTTGTTTGTCAAAATTTTACTCCTTTTAGAAATTATACAAAAAATCTTTTGAAAATAGAAATTCCTTTAATTTTTTTTTCAAAACAAAAAACTTCCCAAATGAGAATAATTTATTAATAAATTTATACGTTCCAAAACCAAAATGTTTAACAAAAATGGTATTCATAGTAAACTATTTCATGTTTTTAGTTAAACATTCAGCAGATCATTTAACATTACAAACCCACAATGTTATGAGTGATAAAATAAAAGACAATTCTGCAAGTTTATTTGCGATCCTCTCAATTTTTTTTTTTACATGTTACATGTATACATGTATGTAACGATATACACTTACCGATTTGCAGATCGTGATTACCGAACTACAAATTAATATACATGAAAACAGTAATCACTTTTAAAAAGATGATTTGGATGAAATATATGGATATAACAAACAGTACTCAAGCTCAAACGTCGATCAAAAAAAAAAAAAGAAGAAAAATTGAAAGAAAGCAATCACAGACCTCCGAAACAAAAGAGGTTGGATTAGGTGCCATGGAGGAATGAGCATTCTCCTGCACATCCGCCATGTGTTCCTTGTCATAATCGGGAAATAACGCAAAATCCGTCGACAATTCAGTGTGCATATAATGGCCTAATAATTAAGAACCCTCTCTACACTGCACACTAAAGAGTTCTGATTCTAAGGTATTATTCTGTAGGTAGAATGATCTGCCCTTAGATCTAAATTCTAAAAAATAGAAATTTACACAATACTACCCAATATGTGATCAATTCAAGTATTCTCAATATTTTAAAAGACCAAAATAAATCAATTGAACATGTAACTTACATGTATTTTCTCTACTGAAGTAATAAACAGTGTTTTCTATTCACTGATACTGTGTTGTCCTTGAACATTTTTCCCGGGGGTAAATGCCACGCACCATACATTGAAAATTAAATAAATCAGCTCAATAGTAACTCATTTATACAATACATTTTTTTCAATGTCCAAAAAAATGTTTGCACTTGTGTAGAGAGGGTCCTTAATATAAAAAAAACGTCAGTTTGCATATTTGATAAATTGTATGACTATGCTGACAAGATAATTGTATCGACCATAGAACTTACGAAATGATGATTTTTTTGAAAAACGAGACTGCTGATATTCTTGTTTCATCAACTTGTTTGTCAAAAATTTATCTCGTTTTAGAAATTGTTCATACGTAGAGCATACATGCATGCTCTCGCGTATGGAATGAACTGAGAGATATAAACCCTGTATACAGGTGATGAATAAGGGAAGCAGACGATTGAAAAGTAGTAGAACTCAGCACGTGTAACATAAAGCTTGGTTGTTACAATTACAATTAAATTTTTTTTCAAGTAAAATACGAAAGAGATATGTCAGACTCTGTGTTATCTTTTATTTCAAGCTCACCAGGATATATCGTATCGACATAAAAATGGAAATAACAGTTTTGTCTTCTTTCTTTTTATCTCAATCAGTATACATGACCTTTTCCCTGCAGAATCCTAAAAATGAGTATTAACCCCCCCCCCCCCCGTTCACACACATAGAAGCCGCTTCTACTACGATCAAAACGTGGCCGAAAACGTGCCAATCGTGACAAATCGCATAAGAAACGTAGTGGAATCTTCATAAGCATCAATTCAATTTACTCGGTATTCACTCAAAACCATGTAAATGGTACATGAGGTACAAAAACAGACAATATTATTAATTTTAGAAATAAATGTACATAATTTTTTCAAAGAATCAACATCATTTTGGCGCATGACTTGATAATATTTGGATTATAAGCGAAGTATGATCGCGGTAGGGTCTTCATGATCGGAGAGCTCTACGCTCACGCCACGCTTATTTTGAACATGCTCAAAACAAGCGTAGCGGGATCATGGCCAAGAAGAGTCGGGATAAAGTCGTAAAAAGAGCGTAGTAGAAGCCCCGAATTGTACAAGCAGCGCGGAAGCATCGTGGAAAAATCTTCGTGATCGTAGTAAACACCCCTACTAACGTGTTCGGAACCTTTTATTTTTCGATGTTCTGTAAAATGTAAAACCCGATGAGTTCAGAGTAGATCTGGCAGTGGCTCTGGCGAGAGTTAGCGGGACTACAGCGAGATAGGGTAAATTATTCACGGAAATGTGGTAGGAAGTGACTAGCACGTGGAGACATGGTAAACAGAAAAGTTATGTTGCGTTTCAGTTTTCACCACCCTATAATATCTTTAGAAATGTACTTCAATCGATCTCTCTTGAATTCATTCAAACTTTTAAATAAGTATTCTCCATGATACAATTTTCTGCAGTGAATCTGTCATGAATTAAATTTTTTTTTGACAAATATTTTTGCATGGGAACCGGGACTATATCTTTCGGCGTCAGTTTAGCAAATGAGGCACCAACATGACTTTAACTGACCAATCAGCTGAATGAGAATTGCATCATGGGTTATTACAATTACTACAGGAATTTTACGCTTGATTACTTTGTCCATTTAAATGCACGAGATGCTGCTCGTTTTCCATACCCTTGAAGCGCTGGTGTTCTGAACATGACACAAACTAAATTTTAGTAAACATTTTTTTTTTCTAGTTAACAAAATAGTAAAAATGCCCGTAACATCTTTCTTAGTTTCTAATCTTTGTATTTTGTTCATAAGATTTTTGTCATTTTGTGCTCCATTGACACGAACATAGATTGACCTGAGACACGTGTTCGAAGTAAAATGAAATCATGATTTTTGGCATAAACGTTGCAATTCAACGATTGGTCAGTTGCTCATGGTAAGATCCTCTGTGCGCATCAACACTAATTACCATATAAGGCAAACAAAGGTTTGTCAGTGTAGATGAAATTACACATTTTTTTTACCAGCGTATCGGTCGCTAGTGAGTTCTAATTTTTGCCATAAATTGTGATAAGATATATTTTTATCCCACTCCCCGTTAGCCACCCTTTTCTGTTGAAAATCATGAAACTCTTTCAGACAGGTCTTGAAACACATTTTTCACAGGACATGTTTTCAAAAGAAACAGTCTATAGCAATTTCCTGTTTACCGCCAATTTTATTTAATAATAGTAGGGATGTAAAAACGCAATAAAAGCGTAGTACGCTCCCACTACGTACTTTTTACGTTCTCACTACGATCTCTCTACGTTCCTACGAAGACCTACGTATAATGGCCAACGCCAATCATATCACGACCTATCAGGCAGCAGTTTGTTTTTATATCGCTGTTATTTGACCATTTGACCAACTGGAAATGCCCCGTAAACTACGTGTTAAAGGCCGTGAAAAATCTACTGTCGCAGAATATGTACTTGTATGCATCATCGCCAAAATCGTACTAGAAAAATCTGCGATTGCAAAATATATTATACAATCGTACTAGAAGCCTAACGGCACAACCGTAGTGATAACGTAGTAAAGTCATCTTTGAATGTAGCGTAAACGCAGTATAACAAGGTTAGCTTTTTCAAAAAAGCTGAGGGTCAGCCACTGGAATACAGAAAGTTTCTTTCTTGTTTTGTAATGGTTTATGATTTGATCTATCCATCATATTGTGTTCCTTAAATGTAATAAATGCCATTGTAAGAAAAGTTGAATTCTTGCAATCGTTTTCTTATTTTTAAGCTTCCATTCTTTTGGAATATTTGCCGTTATCAACTTCTGAATGAATGCTGGCAATTCGTATTGGAAAAAAGCAGCTTTACAATGCAGAAAAAATGTTGATAAGTTATGTCCAATTCAAAAAAATATATTCAAATGATGAAATTGCTGTTGATGTCACAATTTTATAATAACATGATTTCCTAGACAATTCCACATGAAATAAAATGCACGATTTGATGTTTAGAGTGATACATGTATATATATGGTTTATATTCAAAATGTTAACGTTATAGGTAAAAAAAAGATTTATAGATCTAAAACTGTAACATATTTAATTAAACATGCACTGTGTTTTTCTTTTCTAAGAAGAAAGAGTTCTTTCATTGCAAAATGATTTACTCCTTGTGGTCGTACACTGCATTAAAAAAATGTGTTTTGGGGTCCTTGTGAGCTCAACATATGTATCACATATTTATAACACCCTGGTATTACTATGTATACACTTTAAAAGAAACACATGCATTGAATTAAACAAACACTGAATATATTTTCTAGCTCTTTATTTTGTCTCTAAAGTGAGTACCACAAATCTACAAATAGTTGGAGATCCAGCTGAGGTAACTAGACACGCGGGTGTACACACTGGGATAGCTACCCGAACACGTGCTGATACCCCATGACGTCACTCCGGCAAGTCTCCATTGTCCATTCTTCTCACACACGTAAGGTCCACCACTGTCACCCTGTTAATATCCAAAACCAACTTACACAGAGTTAATGCTTAATTATATTTTTTGCTTGTTTATTTCGCTTCTCTCGAATATAGGGCTTCACCATTGCAGATCTAGTGGAGGTACAATATAAAATGCTATTTTTTAACGAAAGGTAAAATTATACAAATAATAATATTGTAATTTGTATACTTACACTGCAAGCAGATTTCCCCTCTTCATACAGACAGATGTGGCTGCTGAAAATGCTAGCTCCGTTGATTCCACTCCACCTATTGGCACATTCCGTATTTCCGATGTTTCTGATCTGGGCTTCCATCAGAGAATTAGATGTTGATCCAGATGCTGGAATTTTAAAGGAATTTTCTTGTAAGTTTGTTCTTTTATGTGACTTGCCAATAGAAAGGCTTCAGAAAAATGAGAAGAGATCATTCATAATGCTATTTTATATTGATTAAAACGCATTAGCAATTTTGTTTTGACTCCAGTAAAAGTTTTATATACATGTATATTCCTTCCTTCGGAAAAAGCTTCGTTTTATGTTCTCAGAAATAATTTTAATGAGTCCTATATATAAACCCTTACTTCCGACATTAGTTCGTCCCCATCCGGTCATCCAGCAGTTCTGAGGTTCGCTAAGGAAATCTTCATTGTTTGAGGGCAGGGTCGCCAAGGCGATGGTGGAGCCAAGAGGAAAAGCAGAACTCAGTTCCAAAACAGCAATGTCATTCGGGTAACCTGCACTTGAACCACTGTATTGTGGGTGCTAAAACGGGAAGTCAGATTGTTATACTCAGCTGATACAAAGTATTGACCTTTCTTCACAATGTTTAAAATAAAATAGCTACAATGTGTATGCAATTGCATGTGAGACAAAGACACTTGTTTCGTATATATGGTCACCCCCTTCTTTTTCTTACCACAGTAAGTAGGGGTTGCAATGTATACGAAAGAAGTGCCGATGTCGTTGATGTGAGATGTTGTTAAATGAACGTGTACATGTGTACTTGAAGTACATTGTCTGATCAACGTTTGCCATTACACGTTGCCAGTATATTTGTTGCATGCGAGAACATGCATTTTGCTGCAGATGTCATTCTTTTTTGATTTTGCTAAGACTATCAATATTCTTCTCACCAAGTTAACTCGTGTCACGGTTCGTCTCTCTCCGGTTGCGCTAACTCGGGTGATTCCCGCCTCCACTTCGTACGTAGTCGGTCTGTTGCTACATTACGCAATAAAGAGCAGCTGTACATATTGTGAAGATTTCTCATAAAAGAAATCGGAAATAAGTTTGGAAAAAAATGAATGTCAAGTTTGTAAACCAAGTATAAAAACCTGTATGCTTCGACACAGTGGGCAGCTGTTAAGACACGGTTGGCAGAAATCAAGGATCCGCCACAGATGTGAGAGGTCCCAATCTGAAGTGATATTTGCCACGGCCACTCCCCTGTACTAGCAGTCTGACCCCCGACAATGCGCGATTCTTGCTGTTAAGTAAAGGGTTTAAGTTATGACTTCATTTATATATGTATATACATTAATACCTGCCGAATACTCCGTTGAGAGCTATATTTAATTATAAAAATAGCAAATTATTTAATTTTTGCAATCTATTAATTACTGGAATAAAGTCATGAAATCTGGACCTAAATAAGCCTTAAGATGCTAGAAATGACCATCAAAATTTAGTCAGCAAATTTTTCGGAAATGATTTTCCGAAATTACAGTTTCTGTTATGGTTTAACTTACTTCGTCCATTGGGTGGGAGATTCGGTTGATGGACCCTAAGATCTCCCTAGCAGGTTGTCTGATCATTGGTACAGCAACTATGAGAATAATATGAATAAACTCATGAATACCATATACTTGATTGATTAAATGTATTATTTAAAACTTTTTGCTATCCTTGCCACTCTACACCCCCCCCCCCCAATGATGTGGATATATATGATTTCCATAATTTCTCTTTTTTGCAAATTCGGATGTTTTATTTTCGAAAAATTTCAATAAACTTGTTGACAAGATTTATCGTTTTCTGGAGATTTAAAAAAATTTTTGAGTCGGTCCATTTTTATGAATTTGGTCAGAAAAAGACACCATTTCTTTTTAAAAAAAATAGATGACCTTATCCAATATTTTATGTATTTTAAATGTTTAAGTAGCATATAGCTGTTGGCTGTTACAATATATACATGTATACAGATTTTCTAAAATTACCCGACAGTCCAAAGACGCACAGGAACACCGCGACCTTCATCTTCACAGTGGTGTGGTATGACGAGGATACTGATGGCTTGCAGTTTGCAGGATTATATATATCCCCAGCATTCTGTATCGTGAGGAGAACTTACACGATTTCTTAAAATAAAAGTTATAAATCAGAGTAATTGAAGACAATTTCTTCAAGGCTGCGTTTTAGTGTAGAAAAATTTATGACTCGTTAACCTGCATTAATTGAATATTTCAATGATTGTCGATTAAAATACTGGTTTTTATACTCCTTATCTTCCCGTGCTTTGACTTATTTCATTTTAGAGATGAATAACAGGGGCTTTAATAAATCGAAAATATTTCCAGAGAAAAATTAATTTTCTAATGCATTTATTTACACAAGTACAATGTACGAATTCACTTTAATTCAGATGTGTGTACATGTAAGCTGTTCATCTTGCATTGATTTTTGCTTGCTCATTTACATACATTTTAAAAATATTTTTATTATTTTTATTCAATGTTGAATTTAAATCTTAGGTGCATTTAAGTGAATTTTCGGTATAAACACAAGTTAACAAGTTCCTTGACACCGTATTAAAGTTCATTCGTGTTAAGTATTGCCTGGGAAATAACACATGAAAGTCGTGGCTACCCATTTTTACCTTTCTCAAAATATCAGTGAGAATAACAATATGTCATATTGAATACTGAATAGTTTATTGACCGATGCAAGTCCTTGTTTGGTTTAAACTGGAAAGACACCGGCCATGATGTGGTTATTTTTGGTTTCCATTTCTCTTTTTTGTGAGTTGATACTTTGTGGAATTATTTTTCACATTTTGATTATAAAGTATTCATGTAGAATAATAATGTTAATTTGAATATATTTATGAAATATATTAATATTCAAAACTTTCTTTTGCATGAAAGAATTGTTTATAATTATAGCACTCCTTAAAATTATTAGAGAAATCATATTAAAAAGCATGGTTTTTTTCTTGGTTTCTATTTGGTAGCACTCAAGTGCTTGTGTGTGGACCCCCAACCCCTTTCCGCGAATATTAACTGATATTTTTATGTCTTGAACGTATATTCCACGTTAATGTTTTTTTTTTATTTCGGGCGGATGGGGGTCTTTATTAGTATTGAATACATTGCAAATGTAAACAAGATGAGTAATTAATGCAAGCAGACAAACAGAAATATCCTTTAGCCTAGATAATTTATTCAAGGGGGCCTGTCCACAAGCATCTGTGAGTAAAATTCATCATGTCTGAATATTTTCAGCTGTCCATCTGCCCAACATCGAGTGCAGACCTAACAAAGAAGAGGTAGCTGTAAATTGTTTTTACCAAATTGATATCTACAAACATGTCATCTTCTTTAATCGATGTTTTGAAATTGAGATTGTAAAATTATTTTTCATCCGGTGACTGCTTTCTAGTTTTCATTTTGGTAGTTATGGTTGTGTGAACTCTTCTTGAATAACCAATCACTTATTTATAATCATGCAATGCATGATATATGTTTTTGAGTATATCTTGCAGAATTACTGTATGGTTCTCGTGTGCAGACCAATATATTTTTTGTGTATTACTTGCAGACTTCCGGTTCCCGTGTGGTGGGCGGACAAGCAGCCGATGTCGGGGAATGGCCGTGGCAGGTGTCTATACAGTTCTACTACAGTAATTCCTGGAGGCACATTTGTGGGGGCACCTTGATCCGTCAGAATGTGGTACTCACAGCGGCACAGTGCGTCTCTGGTCTAAGGTAATGTTACTGAATGTAACCTTTTCTCATTGTACAATGTATTTCCTTGAAATCATTATTTTATCATTAGAAAATTTTTCAAGTAAGTTCTGTAATTTGTTTGAAAATTCAATGATGGAAGTTTATTCAATGTCCCATTTAGGTTGACGAACACAAAAATATACTGAAAGGAAAAAAGAAACGCAGGGTAACATAATATGCGAAAAAAAATTACCGCATGACCAAAAATTACGAAAATTTGTCAGAGAAGAATCTTGGTTACTATGCACTAAAATCAGTGTTCATGCCGTGAAATGTATGACGTAACGTCGGAAAAGTGCTAAAAAGCCAAAATCACGTGCAACTTGATTACGACAAGTTTTTCAACGATCGTTTTGTACCATTTGATGCACTTGAGGTATACAAATTGATTTTTAGTATTTGTAGACGAAATGCATTTCTTGCAATCTTGTAACAGTTGACGAAAGTTTCATTGGGTCTGGCTTTTAGGTTGCTAACAGCTAAACAATAAACGTAATAACAGCTTGCTTCGCAGTCGCTAGTAAATTTCCCCCCTTAGAACATCTGAACCGTCGTCAGAGAGGGCATTGAATTGTTTTCAATCAACCGTGACGATGACGTTGACACGTAACAGAGCCTCGTCAAGATCGGGTTATTCGTCCTGCAACCTGTTTAATCGCCACTGTACTACCACAAAACTGCTATTAATTGAGTAGGTTATCATACTCATTACATTCACCATAAAACTGAAAGAAACCGATTGCGCGATTTGGATCTTTAAGCTAGTTAACTTTACATTGGGGTTCCTCTCACTGGCGCATGCGCGCGCCGTTTGCCCAATTTTTTCGGCAAGCTTACCTCCGGCCCATTGTAGCCTGGGTTTATTAAGACTTTCTAGCATACAGTTACATTTATCCACTCGACTAGTCTCTGTAAAGTCTATCTTTTTCTCATTGAACATCCATGGGACTGAGTGGAAGATAGGGTTCGAAATACCGAAGATGGTCCCTTTCAACTAAGGGTTATCTTGTTGAAAAGGTTGCAAAATATCCCTATTTGTAGGGAAAACACACTGATGAACTCCATGCAAAGGACAAACAAGATACTGATAGATGGGCGAAGGAGACATTGAAGATAATGAGAATTTTCAATTATCACTTTTGGGGGGTATCGTCATATTAGTTTCAATAAATGGAATTTTGGTTACATTTTTATTAAAGATGATTTTAAATGTGAGATATAAATACTAGAAAATACATAAAGAAAAATAAAAAAATATTTCACCTCTAAAGTTTACCCTGCGTTTCTTTTTCCTTTCAGTATAGAAACAAATCCCAAATGAGTGTCATCATTGAGGTATACTTGTAGTATTTCTTTGCAAATTTAACAGTCCCATGTAAAGCATTTACTTTCTGGTTTTTAAAAAAAAATTCTATCTTGAGTTATCAACTTAATTGTTTCCATCATGTGTCTTTAAAGGCTTTAATTTATTTATTTTTACGGAAAAATACAATATTTACAACTTATTTATACCATTGTGTTTAAGTTTGTCGTCCCTAAGAGTAGCAGCTGGAATGTCCAAAATTTCAGAAGGTGGAATGACCTCGGGGATTTCTAAAGTTACTGTGGTGAGTGATAAAACGTATCATCTAATGTTTATCAGTTTCTTTGGAACTCTTACAATCTATCTTGGAATATGAGTGAAATCTTCAACATACACTATGATGTAAAAGATTGGTTAGATAGCAATATAGGTGTGTCCTAGAGTATGTATGATCATACCTTTGTTCATTTGCAAAAAGTAAAATTTTGTTTGAAGACATTTTGTACGGCGACTTCTATTTTCGTTGTCGAATATAATTTATTTCGTTTTTGATAACTTAATATTTCACAAGACGGAAAATATGTTTTAGCATCCCCAGTTCGCAGGCAGTTCCCCAGGATTACCTAACGATATAGCCGTAGTGGAGTTACAGACACCATTTCTAGTGGGCGGATCCATTCAGCTCGCCACTCTACCATCCAGTAAGACAGAAGATTTCTCCAACCTCGCGGACTGCTGGATGACGGGATGGGGCAAAACAGCTGGCAGTAAGACTTTTATAAAACATCCATGATACGTAGTATCGGGGGAGGGGGGACTTTTCCAAACAATGTTTTTCAATTACATATTTCTCTTGCCAAAACAAGCAGTCCTTTACCTGATAATTTTCTGTTTTATTATTATATTTATTGACGTAATACTCACAAGGACACATCACTCTTGGATTTAAGAAGCCTGGAAGTCAACAGATAAACTATTAGATATAACTTAATGTTTAAGATATGATATCTTAAGCTGTACCATCATATGACAAAGAAAAATTTCATACATTTTAGTTTTAAATCACTTATGTATATGTTTATACGGAGCTCTTCTTCTAATGTAAAGGAGATCAATATAGTCCAAAAATGGCCACAACCATCCAACCCTCTTAATACAAAAGAATGTCCCAAAACATATTGCATTTCAGTATAACACCCTCTTATCACTTGTGAAATTTAAGGCGATCCTAGTAATTCAGACGCTTTGATGGAGGCCCAGGTGACAAACATTATGAACACCCAGTGCGTGAACCAGTGGACCGGTATAAATGGCGTCACCATTCTAGATTCTCATCTCTGTACTTTTGAATTGGGAAAGTCTTCCTGTAGTGTAAGTTAATATCCATTTTCGAACTACAGATATTTGTCTTGTAAATTTTTTGACTACGCCAACAGCTTTGCGATGTCTTATTAAACTTAAGAGAGATTTCATTTTAATTTTTAAGAAAATTATAAAATATGTGTGTCATATAACTTGTGATTTGTTTTTATTAAAATTTATCAAAACCCATAGGGCGATATAGGTGGTCCATATGTCTGTATGAAGGACGGAGTTTATAAGCTGGCAGGAATCATGTCTTGGGGGATCAATACTTGTAACGGAGAGTATCCAAGCGTGTGTGTCCGTGTGTCTCATTTCCTGGACTGGATTACCATATCCATTTGAGGAACTTTGGAAGCATTGAAAAGTAATAAAGCAGAAAGAAAAATCGTATTGGGTTTATGCCTTGCTTTTTGATGCACTTTAATCGACAGATTTTCATTCATTAACAAAATGTGTTTGTGAAACACTGATACCTATGGAACGCCGTCACTGCCTTATAGCAGAACACAACATTGCATTGTTTCCACTACATTAACAAAATGTTTTCACACTACTATTGCATTGTGAAACACTGATACCCCATTATGCAAGTCAGCTCTTTATGACATTATGGACATTAACCCACACTACTATTGATTATGGTCATTGAAGTTTCTGAAATGCAAGTCAAACTTCAAGGTCAAAGTTTTTGGTATCAAAAGGAAGGTATTGTCACACAACATTACTCCTGTGAAACATGAAAGCCCTAGTACTAACGATTCAAAACTTATGGTCAAGGTTAAATCTTTTCAAAAGTGCTGAATTAAGTTGAAAACTTTTTTTCTATAAAACTATTATATAAAGCAAAAACCTTGGCATCTTGAAAGTGTTGGGGGGGGGGCCAAGTTAAAATATTTTTAAATCGTTTGAAAGGTCTTGTCACAGTGAATACACAGGTGAAGTACGAAACCCCTCGCACCAACTGTATAAAAGTTACATGTATCATTTGCAAGGTTAAAGGTAGGACATTTTTTGTTAAAGTGTGTCAATGTATTTTTACATCAGGTAATGCAAATCAACATGATAAAGATTTAACACAATATAAAGCCAAGGACACGAGGTCAAATTTGGTGTTACCAGCAGAAAGGCCTTCTCACACGGAATACACCTGTGAAATATGAAAGCCATAGCCCCCTCCACTCAAAAGTTATGCCCAAGGCTAAAGTTTTTGCGGACAGACAAACAGATGGATTGACGGACAGGGCAAAAACTATATACCTCCGAATCTTCGATTACGGAAGCATAATTAACAAAAGTGTTTGTGAAACACTGATGCCCCCATATCATATGGCAACATAGCGAAGGTTAAGCTTTTTCAAATGCAGATCAAATATGTTGGTACCTAAAGTAAGGCCTTTTCACAAGAAACACAGTTGTGAAATATAAAACCCTAAGACCACCAAAGGTTATGACCAAGGTTAACGTTTTTAAAGGTAGGACAAACTCCGGGATCAAGGTCAAATGGTCAAGGTTGTTGGTTCTAAAGAAAGGCCTTGTCCTAAAGATTACATATGGGGAGTATGAAAGCGCTGGCCCTTACCGTTCAAAAGCTGTGGCCAAGGTTAAAGCTTGTCAAGAAGTAGGTCAAACTCCAAGGTCAAGGTCAAAGTTGTTGATATCCAATGAAAGGTCTTGTAACAAGGATTACATATGTGAAGATGAAATCTCTAGCCCTTACTGTTCAAAAGTTGTGGCCACGGTTTAAATTTGCAACAAGTAGGTCAAACTCCAAGGTCCAAGGGTCAAACTTGTTAATATCCAATGAAAGGTCTTCTCACAAGGATTACATATGTGAAGTATGAAAGCCCTAGCCTTTACTGTTCAAAAGTTATGGCCAAAGGTAAATTTTTTTTTTGTATGTACAGGAATCTCCAAGGTCAAGGTCAAAATTGTTGGTTTCAAATGAAAGGTCTTTCCACAAAGAACTGGTATTTGAAATATGAAATTCCTAGTATCTACCGTTTAAAAATTAGGGCCAAAGTAAAAGTTTGGATTTTTTGTGTAAAAATGGGTCATCCTCCAAGGTCAATGTCAAATGGTCAAGATTCTTGATATCAAATAAAAGGTCTTGTCACAATAATTAAATGTGATGTATAAAAGCCCTAGTCCTAACCCTTCAAAAATTATGGTCAAGGTTGTATTTTAAAAGAAGGTCAAACTCCAAGGTCAAGGTCAAAATTCTTGGTATCCAATGAAGCGTCTTCTCACAAGGATTATATATGTGAAGTGTGAAAGCCAGACAGACAGAGACGGACACGACAAAAACTATATACCCCCAAAACTTCGTTTACGGGGGCATAACTAGCAACATTGTTAGAATAACTGCAAATAAAAGTGTATATATCAACCCAGATTATCTCCTTCCTCTTCCATTGCAACAGTAGCCATTTGAATGTTGCATACCTAATGTAAAGTTTCAAAACCCATATGTGAGAAATCATGCGGGCAAAATAAGTTGGAACAATGCCTCCTGCTCCTTTGCTTTCATTCGGGGTGACATAAACCATAGAGAAACGAAAAAGAATTGGTAGTGTTCATAAATTTAATATGTTTTAAGTTTACTTTCAATGTTGTACTACATGTAGTTATTCCTACATAAATCTTCATTAGTTATCAAATTCATACATTTAGTTAAGAAAGAACCACATTTTTTTTGCTTGAAAATAATCAGATATGCAACATGATTTGTAACAAATAGATAGAAAAAGAAAATCTTATATCTTCTTTGGGCCTGTTTAGAACAAAAGAAACATTATAAAATTTCTGCAATCGATAGTTTTTTTTTATCCTCGCAATGTCAGAGGGACCTGAGTCGACTTGGTGCCATGGGACATCAACTAGTTGGCTCAGGGCCCCTGGCATTCCGAGGATTATAATTTTCCATCGAAGTGATTTAAGTAAGAGTTATTTCCCGTTGGCTGCCATATTGTTGGTCGACAAACCCTGATTTCTTCAGCAAGTTTGACTTGTTACACTAGGCATTCAGGTAATGTTCATTGGTTTCATATGAATACCCAGGTATTACGTTTGTAAAAGCATCATAGGAAAACCCATCAGTCTGTGTAATAATGATTTTAGAAAATTTCGAACATGGACTTTACACCAATTTCCATCGTTCGTGGGAATTTTTATAATTCTCACATCTTTGACTACAGTGCCGTCCAACTTTCTGTGGGAATTTAGAAATTTCTCATGGCGAGATCTACAGCACTGATCTTTCTTTTGAATTATGATAATTGGTGTATTGATTTCTCATAGTTGAGCTTCTGCTGGGAAATGTGCTTGCTGTTAAACTTTGATTTCGCGACATTCGTCTAGAAAAAGTCTTCCGCAAGCGGTCCTTAAAGTTTTTGGACATGATTCCGTACACTATGGGATTCACACAGCTGTTTGCGTACGACATCAGGTGAAAGGTCATTCTCATCGGCTTCAGGAAGCCTGTGTTCAGTTCACTGATGACGTTTGCGGCAACGAGGAGATTATTCAGAAGAATTGGTCCCCAGCAAACGGCAAAGAAAAACACGATGATCATCAACATTGAATTACCTGTGAAGATAAAAACATGCTTATCAATTGTTTCTTGAACGGGTTTGAAATATAAATTAACAACAGCATTAAAAATTCCTGTGAAAAATCCTGAAACATGAAATGTGTGAGTATGTTTTTAACGTCCCTCTCTGATGTAAATTTTCATGTTCATATATACATGTTCAATTACAGGCACAGAAAAATTTGAAGTTGACATCAGATTCATATCAAAATCAATCCCATCATATGGCATGCCTCAACAAAGAGTGTACTAAAATTAAGCATCTGCTATGAATAGTTAATGAGAAAACTGCGACGAAAATTTGTTATGTATGGAAGTATGATGCATATATCAAACAGGAAACATAAGATTTAAAAAAATGTCCAAAAGTTGGCATGCCTTAGGAAGATTGTCTTAAAATTTCAACACAATGAGTAGTTGCTGAGAAAACTGCAATGAAGATTTGTTATATATGAAACGGTCAGACACATAGACAAAAGAAAGTTGACATCGGATAAAAACAGTGAACAAAAATTGTTTCATATTTCATTCATTCCATGGAAGATTGTGTTAAAATTAAAAGCATCTGCAATGAGGTAGTTGGTGAATGATTTCCTTTTTTTTTGGACACACGGACATTTTGACACACAATTGACATTGAACACACAGATTTCACACAAGGGTGATATTATTACCATCACCTTCGGAGCGTATAATAACCATATGATTGTTTGATTGTATGTTTTTAACGTCTATCTAATGGAAATTTTCTTTTTAAAGATGCACCACTTGCTGAAACAATCCTTATAAAATTTTAAATAAGGATCATTTTCGTGCCAGCATTATTTCTCAGAAATGGATTTAAATTACGCTTATTCAAAGTGCTGAATCAAAAACACTTTTAAAAGGTGCGATATTAACCCGCGACGTAAGGATCAACTCCTTTTTTCATGGATTTGCTGTTATGTAGCACTTAATTTCGCGGTCGACGCTTATAACCATTTTTTTCGAACCATTTTTTTTATTTTTTAACCTTTATTTCACTCTTCTTTTTGTTTTATATTGACAGACCGTCCGAGCTACATTGCCGTCCGAAAAAACTATATTTATTGCGTACTAAAAAGTGCGCTGTTTCTCGATTTCTCCATGTTTTTAAAACTGTCATCACAAAATACTACTAATCGTGTGTTCCTAACATATTTTTTCACTGTTTTCACAACAAAAAATTCCTTATAATTGTTGTTAATAGCCCTCCTGGGCCCGAAATTGAGATCATCGGAAATTTCATCTTTTTATACTGCCATCTTGGTTTGCAAGATAATTCGGTCCAAGGCGCTTCGTGCATATGTCACCTACAGGAGTACTTGACAGAGGGGTAAGGAATTATTTAAAATCTAGCTTTTTTGCAATTAAGGTAAGAATTTAGAAGAATTAATCCCGAACTAAGCGTACTATTTTGTGCGCAATAAATCTAGTTTTTCCAATGGGTGGCACTGTAGTTCTCCGGTCTGTCGAATATATTTTTTTTTCGGAGAGCTAAAGTTCTGGAGCTAAATTTTGAAGTACATGTATCTAAATAACAAACTTGTCACAGAGATGCAACCTATGATTTTATTTGAACTGATAATGCATTAAAATATCATAACCTTGAGAGATACACATGTACTGTCACAAAAAGTACCTGGATATTTCTAATGATGCATATTCTAAATTCTCGTGATTTGATCTTTTTTTAATTTTATTTCTTGCGATTAAAATATACATGAGGTAAAATTAAGTATTCCTTAATAGCTGTCTAACAGTTTATTTAATTTTAATTATTATCGCATAAAATGTGGAATAAAGTCTTTCCTCCCCCATTCTTTGATCCAAACTGCATCAAAAATAGCACTACACAGCTGAGATATTCTGCAACACGCATTTTATTTCATTGTGACTAAACAGATATCGTTTTTTTAAATAAGTGCATCATTTTTGTAATACTTTCACAGCATGTAAAAAAAGAAATTATGGATTTAGCTTTAAAGAAATTTGATGGAAAAACGTCAATAAAACTATCAAAAGTGTAATTTACGAGAAACAAATCCCGCACGCAGGTAGTTCAAAACAGGGGTATTTAAAGCGCTTTTCATGTAATTATGTTAAATAAAACCTGGCAAAATTATTGAATTAAATTAAGATCTTCTTCCGGGATGTAGAGAAACCTTGTGATTTTGGCAGAGTTCTGTAACAATCATGTCAATTTTAAGGATAAATTGATTGGAACCATTCTCTTTAATGTTTTCTCATGATCCTAATGTGCGCCTTGACCTTGAGGCTTGACTCAAGGTTTCAGGGTCTCGCGATACTAAAACGGTTATCTCTAAAACTGAAAATCTCTATTGGAACTTAAAATAACTTATTGTTTAGCCCGTTGTCAATAATTTTGCAAACACTGATTAAAATAAAGTCAATCTTTCGTATGCTTTGTTGGTACATTTAGTTATTAAAGTAACTTCACATTCACATTCAAGCACGGTCATTCAATAATGGCAAGAGAAAGGGTTGTAAAATCTAATTGATCTCTTTTTACAGGTTTGCAATCATATTTTTCTTGAATCTATTTACATTATCATAAATCAATGTTACATTTGTAATTTCACCGTTAAGTACCTGTTTTCTTGTTTTTGCGTCCTCGGAAACTATGATAGTGGTATTTTTGACAGATCGTCTAACTAATCGTCGAGAGGAACCATTCTCATTCGCTTGATTTGATCTTAAGCTCACTTCTTCTCTTTGTCTGAAAGTGATTAGTGAAAATTTAAAAAGTTTGATACCTCTTGGAAGAGTAAAACTTCCTTTCCAAGACTAAATCAGTAAAAGTTGTTCTTTTTCTCTCTCTCTCTCTGTTAATGTTGCTTTGTCAAGATCTGTTTGGTCTCAATTCTACCTCGGTTATATCTATGTAAACCCTGATTGGAGTGAATTAGGACGTGTTTGCAGAAAGTCTTTTTCTAAGTTTTCCACAGTGATATAATAAGAGTTTGCAAGTAGATTGCACTAATGTTATTGCGTCAACAATTAATTTTGAGGTCCAAAGGACACAGAATTTCTGAATTAGCTTGTTGAAATTTTAATATTTCACAAGTACGTAATTCTTGATTTCAATTTTATAAGGTACACACCTTCCTCCCGCCAAGGCAGCTCGCCTTGCTGTCACGTTCCAAATCTCGCAGGATATACGACTGTACGTGAACAACATTATCGTCATGGGAACAATAAACAAAATGAAAAACATGTAGATTTCAAACAAAAGACTGTATACTGGTTGTGAATACTTTTTCATGCACCAATAGGCTTTGACTCGTCTTCCAACTTCATGCAGGTCCTGAAAAAATTAAAAAAACCAAATGCTTTTGTCTTTATTGGCCGGAAAAACTGTCTTCAGAAATTATTCTATCGATCCTGCTGATTTTTTATTTAGCCCTTCCAAATAAATTATCAATACCTAAAATATATATACATTTCATGTTCTATTACTGTGAATAATGTTTAATTCGCAAGAACTTTATTTTCGCACAAGACCATCTGCTCACAAAAATTTGATTATTCTTACAAGTATAAAAAGTAAAGATTAGTACGTCCCGTTTATAAAGTCCAAACGACAGACTCGCGAAAATAAGGTCTCGTGAATATTTTGTGATCTAATATCAACTCATCGAATGTATGTACATTCGAATATCCATATTTATCAATTCTAATCTGCGGAGGAGGAGGAGGAGGAGGAGGGGAGATTATACTTAGATTAGGTAACTATAGGATGATGACATTTTGGAAGATCAACTAATACAGTAACGAATCAGACAGACATAATAGAGTATATTTGAAGCTTTAATGGCATAATGGAAGTGGATTGGTAAATGATTAAATGGAGGAAGAAAGGGTCTGTTTTTTTACTCTTACTGTTCTTGTTGTAATTATAAGGACCACAACCTACGTAAATCAATCCAGACTAATTTTTGTAGCTTTTTTTATCGTACTGTCTTCTCTAATAAACTTCAGAATAAGAAAAAGAACTGCACAAGGAATGTCGATTTCTTTAAAAATTCGGGAATATGATTCATGGAAAGGGCAGAGGTACTCTGTACTCATTTTCATATTCTAATAACCCAGTCCTTGTTCGATAATTGAACCTTCTCATTTTCAGAAATGGTCAAGTTTTAAGGTCATCAGAAATCTAATTAACAGGCGTATTGTTACGTGAAATCTCAATTATTTCTTCACATCTTTTAGGCAAAATTTCTCGGAATTTATAAAATATATTAATAACTCTAAAATTTTGGCTTGCCTGGATAAAGATAACTGGCATGGTGTAAATAAAGGAGAGGATCCACACGGCTGCTATGACGAATTTGGAGTGTCGTACCGTGCACAATGACCGGGCGCGTAGTGGATAAATAATGGCAATAAACCTGTAAAAAGTATAAAAAAAAAAAATAATTATGAAATTAAAATTATCCTAATTTTGTGATAATGACACACCAGATATTATTTGACATCTCATGTAAGGAAAACATATATACTGCCTTTTAATAATCCAAAGTTTTAAATATACTAAGTGGACATGAGTACATTTAAAACATTAACCTTGATCTTAACTTTTAAATGAGAAAAGATAATTATACTTGTATGTATTAACTAATTGTAATTTTTGACCCCGTGACCTAGACCATGAAGTTTGAACTACTTCTCAAAATTGTTATCTTTCCATATATCTTTTGTTTGAGAAGAGATGGGGCTTTCATACTTGACATGTCCATTACCTGTGATAAGATATATCTCAGCATGCTATGACTTGGACAAATTGATTTGACTTCATGTTTGACATAATTTTCAAAAAATAAACTTTGCTGATTACTTATGAATGACATTTAATAGGGCGTGCACATTTGACACATTATGCCATGATAAATGATGCCATCCCATTCAATAAGACGCAGAAAGCGAGTGACCACTTCTTTTTTAATTTGCTTGTTTTTTTTAATCTGGTTATACTACATGTACTTCTTCAAAGTCAATCATCTAGAATTAACAACAGACAGTTTATATAAATACAGACTTCATTGGGGACTGTATTCCTCGTTCATAGGGGTTGTAGTCTCAAGTTAAAGTGGGGTAATTGGATAAACTGACGATATTAAGATTAATACAGTCATGTAATTTTATTTTCATCTGCACAGCTAATCCCCTGGAAATTATCTGATATTGTTCCCCTATTCCCTATATTAGAATTACACTAGTCCATATAGATATTATTTATATGGAAAACACATTCAAGTTTCACATAAACTTAATAAAGGCATTATAAGCGCGTTAAATTTGTCCCATCATATCATTATTAGTTTTTGATAAATGTGACTTTCTTTTGAAGCAAAATTCTATTAAACGAATTTTTGAAATTATGTTAGATATCGATTACATTGTAAGAGAAATGTTATGCTACAAGTACACTTTCATTAGAGATCTTCGTCATAACAAACAAATTTTATTCATTTAAAGAACATAAAGATTGATTATTGTGCAGACAAAAATGAGTACTATTACATTAGCTGAATTGAAACGCCAGCACTGACACGGCTCTATCTGAATCTATTATCTTCGGACTTTCCTCTATAATAAAGACTTTCTACTTTGTTGAAATTATATATTACATTGTTCTTTTAAAAGTCTTTGAAAATTTCTAAGGCAAAAGCAACCTTACAGGTATCGGGGGTAGGGGGGGGGGGCAGGGGGAGGTGAGTAAATTAACCTTTTCTATATAGACAGTCCAATCTTGAATCTTAAGGGCCAGTAAATCTTATATGAAATGGATAACTCTGAAGTTAGATATTTAAACACCTAAATTATACTGCAGTTATTTTCCAAAAAATACTGGGGTTTGGGTAGTCAGTCCTTTAGTAGACCGTTATTTAAATTCTCGTATCAAAAATTAGATACCGAAAATTAGACCAGTCGACCTTCCTAATTGATAATACATGTACCTTTTAAAGAGATTTGGAAACTTCGGAAAATCAATTTAAGAAAAAAAAACAAGAGATACAATATTATCAGAAAAAGTTTTTAATATTTAAGCGTATATATGTATTAATTAACTTTTCCACCTGAGAATATCATTAAAATATGGGCATAATAGTTAAACTGGAAAAAAATTATCTCTTGCCTTCGTGCTAAAATATCTTTCCCGCTTCTTTCGCCAACCTTATCAAAGCTTAAACATTGACTTGCATTCAATAAATCATAAAATTATTTAAATCACGAATCTTTGGGGAAATTGTGTTTACTGTTAGTAGTAATGATATTTGGTATAAGTGTTCACACTTCCATAAACGCTTAAGACAATGATACAGTACCTTTCTATGCTCATTACTGTGAGAGTAATGACGGAACAGACCATAGATACGTTCTGTACGTAGTGGGTAAAAGTACACAGGAACGCTCCCATCCTCCAAGTGTAGGAAAAGTAGGTGGCACACTGAAATAAAAATCGAAAAATGTATAACTATGTAATTACATTAGACCACTTCTTGTCTCGATGTGTAGAATTAAAAAAAAAAAAAAATCGATGTTTGACCGGGGAGTAAGATGTTGGCCCTGTTGATGAGATGTTTGACCGCTTTCGTCATACAATAGGCGGGATCAGCTAATTAAATCTTATTTGCATTTTTTTTGGTGTTCTACATCCTTATATACCAGAAGAAACAAGCTAATTCAGAGAATTTGTGTCCCCCGCTTAGGGAAAAAGTAAACCATGCGAAGTTCGGGGGGGGGGGGGGGGGTCGGATTCCCATGACTGAATTTGTAGAATTCTTAAATGTATACATGTATACTGAAGCAAATAAAATATGCCAATATCGATATAAAGATTTGATTGCTTATTCTTTATTATGTGTATAGACGATTCTTTTTATATGGAATATTTATCACACTGTAATGATGATTTTATGAGTTTGTACAAGCTAAAGTGACATACGAGGGTCATTCAAAAAGTTCGTAGACTTTTGTCCTAACTTTTTTATTTAACGTCATATTATATCCAAATTTGGTACAAATATTTTAACAACAGATTCAAATAATTTGAGTAAAAAATTGGAATATATCTTCGTATTTATAAAAATGACCAAGGATTTAGAACAGCAAAAATGGGGTCACGGAGCACCGTCAAAATTGAGTAATTTTCTAATTTTCACTTTATAGTATTTACAGCTATATCTCTAATAAAAGGAGCTGGAACGAAATAAAATTTACATGTTTAAATAAAGTATTGCTGTATTAATAAAATTGAAATCAGGTTTTGTAATATCTCGTTCCATTTTAAAAGATATTAGCTTCTAAATACATATGGACTTGATTGAAAAAGGCAAAAAACCATGACGTTGGAGGACGTCACGGAGCAGCAAGTAGCAATAAAATTAGACTTTACATTCGGGAAACTTTTTCTACAAGCTTAAAAAATCCTTATAAACCAGGATTTGTATGAAAAAAAATCTGTGTATTTGTATTAAATTGAAAATATAATTTTTGAGTGGTAGCGAGTTTGAATCGGACGATGGATTGTCTGCAAAGAACAGGTTAAAGTTAAAAATATTGTCAAAAGAGTTAGGAACGTCATTGAACGTGATGTGTGCTTCAATGTTGCAGAAATAATAGAGTTGCGTGGTAAATCAAAGAATTTGAAAACAATAAACATTCTAATTCAAGCTTTATTTGTACAATTGTTAGCAAACTAGGTGTTAAGTGTTGTGGATATGTGTTTTGAATGGAGAAGACGCTACAAACCGTGTTTGAAATAACAAAAATGTGTATACTTTTGACAAACTTTCTCAGCGTTGTTTTTGACGTTACAATATTGCTTAACCATGCTCCGTGGCAACAAAACATGTTGCTTTAAATTTTGGCTAACATGAGTTCTATTTAATCAAAGGGAATGAAACTTCACACTTCGACAAAAAATATTATGTTTACGAAAATGTGTTGATCTATAATCTTGTAATAATCATATGACGATGAGAAGCATTGTCTACGTATTTTTTGAATGACCCTCGTACCACTACACCACGGAACCGCTTTAAACTGGCGAAAATTATATGCAACAAAAATGAAGTCACATACATGTATAGATTCACGTTCGATATTGTCAAAATTTTACACAATGCATGGTGTCTAATTTAACCTTTATTAAAAAGAGTATAAATTCTACCGAGAAACTGTTTTATACGTAATAACTCTCCTCATGCCCCTGTGCTAAAAATAGCGACATGTAATACAATAAATACTAATAAAACAAACGGGGCGGGTCACTTTGAGAGGGGTGAGAGGGGTCCTAGGGAGTTTTGGTACAAAATTACAATGCAAAAGTTTAAAATCTTCTTGAAATATCGCCCGGAAAGGATAGTGTTTCATACAGAAGGAACGTATCAATTTTCGACCTTGAACTTTGACTTTTTGACCTCAAAATCAATAGGGGTCTTTCTTAGGCCATAGGAAGTTGTTATGTAAAATTTCATTGCAAAAGCTCTAAGAGTTCTCGAGAAATCGCGCGGAAACGAAAATGTTATAACAGACAGAATTTGCGAATTTATGACCTTGACCTTTGGACCTCAAAATCAATAGGGTTCTTCTTTAGTCCATAGGGAGTTGCTATGCAAAATTTCATTGCGAAAGCTCAAAGGGTTCTCGAGATATCGTGTGGAAACGGACGCGTTACAGACAGACAGAGAGACGGACGGACAGACCCAAATTAATATCCCCCACTTTTCAAGCGGGGACAATAAATGAGTAAAAGGTATAAGAAAACATTAATTTGCGTGTTCTAGGGCAAAACAAGTTTTATCGACCCCTCGAACCAAGCTATTAGGCAAACGGTTTGGTTCTTGGGTCCAACAACACGCATGTTGCCCTCGAACCTAGTCATTAAGTTTCAAAAATTCTGAAAGTAAAAAAAACATTGAACTGTAACGCACGATGAAATTCGCATTAATATTTCAATTATAGATTAGACTTGTTTTGTTGTGAAAAATTAATTATTAAAGCAAATTTTGGATTTAACAAAATTTGTACCTGAGGAAGCTCCTACATGGAATGTGAAATGTGGATGGCGCGCTCAGCATAAAGTAACAGTGAAGTAATACATGCAGAGAAAAAGGGAAATCCTTTTAGATCTCATAATGTTGAAGTAATATGTAGGGTAATGCAACAAAGAAACTTGTTACATGAAAAAACATTATTTTGAGATATTTCGGTGATTAACCCGAAAGGTTTTAGAGTAGTTCGAGTGTAAACAGAATCTTGACATTTGTTTAATATACAATGTCATTGTATGCCAAATATTAGATCTGTTTACAATGAACATGCACTTTGTAGCCTGTCAAAAAGAGCATTTCCGTATTTTTCATACAGTCATACATGTACGTATTTAATGAAAATGAAGAAGAGCAAATTAATACATCCTATCGTTTGTATGTACGAACAGACGCATGGATAAACAAGAAGTGAACATCGGATTTAAACAAATTTATATCCAACAATAAAGAATGCTTTAGCGAAGAATGTGCTAAAATTTCAAGCAGCTGCGACGAGTAGTCGCTAAGAAAACTTTGACCACAAATTTGTAATGTATGGTACGGACAGACACATGGATAAACAGGAAGTTGACATCGGCCTCAACAAAGTTTATGCTAAAATTCAAGCATAAAAATTTGTTACCGGCAGACATATAGCTAGACAGGCAGACACGCAAGAGTAAACCAGTATACCCCCTTTCCTTCGAACCGGGGGGTGGGTATAATAATTAAAAACTTGTTTACAGGTAAATTATGAAGATTTTGTCTCCAGAGACGGTATTGGTGCCACCAACATTATTGTTTCACCCTGTACTGTATTATACAAAATTCATTCGTCAAGTAGTGTTGTGGTATTCTCTAATGCGTGCTTGTAAAATTGAAAATTTTTAACAAACAACAGAATAACAAATGAGTTTATCAGCTTATTATGTACCAAATGATTTATTAATTTCTCCAAAGGTGCTGTGAATCAATCGAATACAACGTAATCTTGTGGGGATATAAAGACGAATAGGGTTGTTTTATGAAGAAAGGAACATAAATATCAGCTGGTCATGTTAAGTTTAATTTTATGTGCTATTTTAGAAATATAAAGCAAGTACTCTCTTAATACATTGGGGAAATATTTGAGGTCTAACAATTTAATTAGATACTAAAAAAGTTTGGGAATGCGGGAATGCTTATATTGCTTGCTGTACTTTTATTTTCTAGCTTCATAAGTAACATCTTTATTTTCAGCTCCGTAACAACATACAAAGAATATGTGACTCGTACCGTTCTGTCCTTGCTTAGGTTTATTTTTGCTAATATCGTGAAGATAAAAGTATTCTACATGTACTTTTATTTTACTCGTTCCATTTTTTGAAGATCCAAAGTTAGATGCTTTTAACATGATTTGCAGATGATATGAAAATTTTAGAAAAGTTTACAACAGAATTGGTAGGCACGTATACATTAAGTTCTAAGCAAAAGGAGTAATAAAACCTCTTTGAGCCACTATGTTAAAATCCGCTTGGCATTCTTTGAAATTAATTACTTGACACCTAATAGATATGGATACAAAGAAAATAAATGGAAAGACTTGCTTTTTGCATAACTTCTTAATTGAATAACTTCGTAATACATGCATGTTCAATGATTTGAGTTTTACAGAAGTACAAGTGATCGTGATCAAATCATACACATGTAGCTCTTTGATCACGTGACCAAATTTCATTTTCCTATGAAGTTTTTCAAATTACTAGTATCTTCTTAATTGAACACAAACATTAATTCCGCATCCCGTTCAGTGAGTGCTGTAGGAATAGGATGCTAGCGCTATTATGGAAAGAGTACACCTAGATTTGTACTTCCTAACTATTTAATAGTCCTTCCCATCGAGTAACGGTTATACAGATGATTATAATCACACACCCCAATGAAATTTTCTTTTATATATCTTTTCAATCACTACGATAGCAGGGATGCTGAAATTTCTGGTCAAGACATGGGAATTTATTTTACTTCTTTTGCCCTACAGGTTAGTGTAGACATCTCATTGGATATGACATTTTTGGAAACGATTCCATTTTGGCAATAAGTAGACAGAAATTCTTTGGGGGATTTAGCTAATAAACAAGACAGAGATTTTGCATAGAAAAGCAACCACTGGTCATTATTTTAAGCATGCCATACTAAAAATCATGGAGGGTTTTCTTTCTACTGCTACTTTTACTGTTAACTATTCTTTACCTTAGGGCAGTCGTCAAAACAACATCATGTAATGACTGATCCAATCTCGCGTAAACAGTGGTAATGTACCATTTATGTTCACATTCTAAACAAATTTCAGTACCTCATCTAGATACAATGTGAAAAATAGACAGACATAATTCTTGTAGTAAATAGGAATATAACTCTTCTTGGCAAAACG